GATATTAAGAATACGCGTATCGTTAAATATTTCGAGTTAAATACTAGAAAGCAAGTACCAAATTATTTTTATTATTAGCATATTGTATTAAAAATTGGAATATACATTAAGTATTTTTACTCATTAAATTACTAGTTCGTAAGTGCTGTATAAACGTTAATTGCGTTTTCAAAATAATATATTGAAGGCATTTATATAAATATAAACAGCTTTATGTTTAAATAATTGTTTATATATATATTGTTCATATACTCACATGATAAATTAATAGGGCGTTAGTATATTTCGTCTTTTTTATAAAATGTCAAGAATATTTTCATTATATATTCATTTATTTTTGGGTTAAAATACCAGAAAGTGAGTATGAAGCTTTTTTTTTTTTTTTTTTTTTTATATATATATAATAATAATAATAATACAGTATTAAAAATATTTACATTTTTTTATTAATCCTTGCGTTAAATTCTGCTAGAAAGTGAGTAGCAATTCATCGTTTAATATTAATTTGTAATCATTTAAATTTTAAGTATAAAAAGCATTTAAATCACATAATAAATTGGCAGAGCGTGTGTATCGATAATCTTTAAAATCGAAGTATCAAAAATTATACTATATTTATTCCATTTTATTATTAGAGAGTGAGTATACAACTTATTTTTAGTAAAGGTTATTATTAATACTGAAAACTCTAATAATTTTCGTTTGAATTTATTGTTCCGATTTTATATTAAAATTTATGTTGTAGATTGTATGTATGAAAATATATTATCATATTCGTTTTTGCAATATACAATTTGTTAATACAGTTATTTAAAAGGGAGTGGGTATAATTTATATTTATTAAGAAAATTTATTTTGAAATAATCCAATAATTATTTTATATCAAAATATCAAATTAACAGATCGTATGCATAAATTTAATTTTGTTAAAAAAAATTTATGATGAAATAATAAAACTTATAATTACTGCTTTTTATATTAAAAGGGAGTGAGTATAAAATTTATCATTCAAAAACCCTTCTATAAAAATTATAATTAACTTTTTGCGTGTTAATTATCAGATTGTGAGTTTATCATAAACTACATTTTTAGAATTTGTATTTATCATTAAACAAAATATAATTAATTATTTGTTTTAAAGAGAGTAAGTTTATTTGAATTATATTTTAAACTCTATATTGATATACTATTTAATACAATTATAATATTATTAAATTATTAGATTGTGAGTATTTAAGCTTTTATTACAATAACAAACTATATATATTTAATAACTAACTTTATATATTAACAGATTGTGAGCTTAAGAGGTTATTTTATCATAATTAATCAATTAATTAATTCTAACTGCTTTAATTTCTTAGATTGTAAGATGAAATTTATATTATTTTGCCAACCGATAATATAACTAATAGTTTTTCTTAATTTTAAAAAGAGAGTATAAATTTATTTAATTTTATTAAAAAAATTAAATTAAATAAAATTCTAAATATCTACTAATCAAATTATATCGTGAGTGTAAAATTTAAACATTTATCTCGCTTTTTAAAAGAATTATATTAATATACGATTATTTATTTATTAAGTTATTTTTTTTAATTTAATTTTATAGCTCAAGCAATAATGAATGCAATCATTCAGCACCATACTTAATTTTTAAATGTCACGAATTCGAAAAATCAACTGAAAAGTTGATTAACAATAATCCTGGATTGTTTTGTAAAGAGAGTGAAGATTTTAAAATATTAGATCTTATTCAAGATATATTTTATTTTGCGCATAATTTAAAATATACTAATAACTGGAAAGATAATTTTGAAATTCGTAGGCATTCAGAAATTGTTAAAAATTCTTATACAATTTGTGAAGAATTCGCTGAAAAATTTGAAAGCCTTGAAAATCTTAAAAAAGATCTTGAAAGCAAAATTAACTTTAACTTAAGCAGTAAAGATGAAGAAGATATTTGTGAAAGCTATAAAGAAATATCTAAAAAGATAATAAAGATTGGTAATTTGAAAAATAAATGGATTAACAAGAAGAAGGTAATATATTTATATTATAATTAGTTCAATTACAACTATACCATATTTAAATTTTTTTTAAAAAAAGGAAATAGAAAAAGAAATCGAAAATATAAAATTAAAAAGGAAAGAAGGATATGATATTTTAAACCGTGATAACGCAATCATTGAATTGAAATATAAATTTGAAAGATTTAAGGATTTAGAAAAATTATCAGGTTAGTTATATAAAATTTTAATAAAGTTTTTAATACAATTATTTAGATGATATGTAGAGATGCAAAACGGCTCGATCAGCTTAATTATAGTAACAACAACTTAACTAATCGAGCCGATTTGCTAACCATATGACGCATGCCTATAACATATGGTATTTACAAACAGGATCTATTATCAGTTATTAATTAAAATTTTGATTATAGAATTTTGGAAATGTCTTTCTATTGAATTTCGATTAAATGAAAATTTGATAAATTCGAATGCTGAATTATATGTAGAAGAATATGTCATTGATCATATTGTAGAGCATTATTCGAAAATTTGTGATTTAGTTGGTGCTTTTTGCAAATATATTGCAACCAATAATAGTAAGATTAGTGAGATTTATTATAATAGGGAAAAATATGGCGAAATCCAAGCAAACACCGCTGATTACCATGTACTTTTATACATGGATTAATGATTATATTTATACTTTTTTTATGTATTTACATGTTTAAATAGTATATTTTTATATACTATACAGTATTTTTATATTCTCATATTTATATATATAGGAAAAATATTTAAATGCAAAAAAAAGAATCATAATTTTATTTATGGTCGACATATTGATATGATTCAAGTTTTATTTTATGAAAATTTGCTTTTGCACGAAAACTAGCAGTTGAACGTGTGGGTAACTTTAGTAACCAGTTATAATAGTTGACACAAATGAAATGAATTAATAAGAGTTTCAACTTATATTGAGGATCTAATTTCAATTAAAATTGATGACGTATGTTTTAAAGCTATTTAAAGATATTTATATTAGATTTTACACGCACTTCAAAACACCAAATATCTTTATAACTTAGCATTGCCACCAAAATCAGGTACGTAATCTCTGCTTAAATTCGATCTGATCAGCACGAAACAAGTTTACGT